CACATGATTTTTGAAAATGACTGAGACAGTTTTAAGTACTTAAACAAAGCAATATGAACTTGGGACAGCTTATCCACAATTTTGATCCCAATATACATCTCATTGGAAAAATACAATTAAAAAAAAATATACAGACTGACCTTGTTGGTTTTATTTAATCAAACTTGCTTGGATGAATACTTGCTGCCTAAACATACCTTATATAGCTGAATGGTCAGAGCATTTGCTTACAAACTATGAAATAAGAGATTCAATATCACCATTTGTCAGGAAGGTCTGGGGAGGCAATTTCAATGTGCAGCACCTTTGGAAAGTATCTGAAAACCAAACATGGGTTGTCCCAAACATTGAGTGAAATCAGGTAGATGGAACTGTTTGGAAGAAGTCAATGGTTGTGCTAGGATGGTTGAGACTGAGGGTTTGAACATACTGGTGTTGTTCAAATTGCTGATCATGTCAGATTATATGCTCTCACCCAGAAGCTGTAATTAAAGTCTACCTAGCATAGTTGCAGTATAAAATACAGGTGGAGCCTGTGGGTGTTGAACAAACACAAGTGTACTTGAGAAAGTATCTGAAACAGGGATTGATTAGCCTCCTAGCAAATGGGTCTGGTCAGAAGACAAGTAGCTTCCAGTGTGTGTATATATTTATATATCCTATTATTATTATTTTTTTTTCTTTGTTGATGATAACAAAGAGGAGGAAAATGTAGAATATTAATTGCAAATGTATATATTTGAAATATCCTGAAAATTTTTCATTCACTCCATTTCCAAAATTCTGAACAAATGTGAAAGAAAGAAATTTTTTTTTAATTTGATTTCTTTCATTTATTTGAGCTGGTTGACTTTCTTGCCTCTACCACTTATTGTAACTGATAATGGCAAAATGAACTGTGAGTTATAATACTCAAGCTAATTTAAGAGCATATTGTACATTGAACCTCCTGTTGAGTGCAGTGCCAAATTTCATTAAGATTAGACATGGGGTTCTTGAGCTAGGACCATTTTTCTGTTTTTACAGAATTTTTAATAGGAAATTTTTTGTGTTGTCAAGGGTCCCACTAATTCAGTATTTTTTTCAATACACATGCTTGTATCAATCTGTGTATATAAACAAGCACTTGCCTATTATATTCCAACTATGATGTGTGTGAAAAATAAACATTCACAGTGTTATTAAATAAATTTAAATATACAAAACAAAACACATTATTCACTACACTGTTACAACTATTTAATAGACAAATATCTGGGATAATTGGCAACTACTTGATAGGTGAAGAGGCTATGGGGTGAGTCATTGTAAAACGTAATCTGTATAGCTTGAAAATTGTCACTTGATGGTAAATAAATAAATAGGTGCATGCTGGTTTGCCACCTTTTATATATATATTGAAATAAATGTGAGGAAGATACCAGTATCTAGAATAAAAAATATTATTTTGAAAAAAAAAAAGTACTGGGTGGGGGGATGAAGAATTGCACAAAAAGGAGTTATCCATACTTTATTTAAATAAATATGAATCAAACAATTGCTGGTTTTCTTTTTTTTTTTCTTTAATGTTGAAAATTATATGTAATAAGTTCATAGTAATTAACTATGTCTTCTAACAAATTAAATTTGTGGAATCAATATATGAATTGTTAAAATCATTAAATTTATTTCAGTGATATCATAATTTTAATATGTTGGAAATTGTCATTTTTCTATGTATCAGGGACTGCATTTTATCACAAATTCTTAAAACCTTTCCATTTATTGCATTTTATCTAAGTAATATTGTATAGTGTGAGTAATAATTATTATTACAATAACTTGTATTGCAAATACAAATTATGTAATTAATAATAAAATTGATAATATGGTTACCTCACCATTTTATAAAATGAACTGCTTTCAAAAGGAATCCAATGGGTTTATAGGTGATCTGGTAGGACATAAAAAGCAATATTTTCATTATTTGTTTTGTTCTTCGGCATCTCCTAACTTAGACTTTTATGTCTCCCTGTCATAGATCAACCTACCAACTTTGCTTATAAACTGTAATTCATGAAATCATACAATTTTATAATTGGTCTCAAGTTACTTTATCTTGCTCTTATTATATATTGGGATTATTTAATTTAAGATTAAATCTATCTTGTGATTTAAGCTGCAAATCTCCTTCATGTTGCCAAATTTCCTTTCCTTTTGTCTTTTTAATTTTTCTGCAATGTTTATTTTGTATTAAATTAATGTAATCTGTATTGAGTCAGTAGAATTACTCTTTAATGTCAAGTTGATCATTTTATTACCATAGTTACAAGTCTGTAGTTTGATGTTTTACTTATCTAGACTTTGTAATATGGATATCAATACATAATTCTATTCTTTTACTTACAAGAAAATTATAAATTGTAGAGTGACATTAAATTCTTTGGTTAATTTATTTATTTTCATTCCTCCCATCCTACTCAACATGCATATTTTGTCCATTTCCACAATCATTGTTCATTTGCAGTCGGTTTTAGATACATTAGTATGTGAGGAGTGTTTTTTTTTTCTTTTATGGGAGTTGAGATATTTAAAATGTGATTGGAAATAAACACCATAATGAGATTGAGCAGTCTTAAAATAAAAAAAAAAAAAGCAAAAAAAAAAAAATTCTGTATAATGTAGCATGTATACACTTCAAGCAAACAAACACATATATATATATATATATATATATATATATATATATATATATATATATATATATACACACACGCTTTTTGATCATATCTCTGAGAAATCAATGAGGTAAGATTTTATTGCCATTACTTATTAATATTGTTTGGTTTTTATCAAATGTGGATAGAAAATCTTGAACATACCAAGGCTTTGTAGTCCACTACCTTTTTGGGCTTTTATATAGCTGAAGAAGGCAGAATAATTTATAATTTTTTTTTTTTTTTTTGCAAAATACACTTCTGTACTATGTCTGTGTATATTTGGATGTTTTATAAATAATTTTAAGAAATCTTCTACTTGCATATCTGTTTATTACTTTTATTAAACCAGTAACTAAATACAATAAATATTTCGGATATTAATTTTCAAGTTTATTTTGTCTTTTATATAGAGAAGATTCAAATGTTCATTCATTATAACAATTATTCATGCATCCGTTTTACAAGCTTTATTTTCTGCAACTTTTTGCTTATTTTTCTTTCTATATCTGCCTCTATAATGATGTAAATTAATATTTTAATTACTCCTTTATACTCTAGTGCCACCCAAGTATTTCCTTGCAGAATTTGAAATTTTTCCAGATTCAATTCACTCTGTTCAGAGAAATAAAAAACACATTCATAATCTGCTCAGCTTTGCTTATACAACTATAAAATGTTAGTAAATAATTATCAATGGTGGAAAAATATTCTTGTTGAAATCTGAATTCTCTTATATGCCATGCCCCTTCAGGATGTTGGTGATCATGGCTCTCTACAATTCCTTGTTCTTTGTAGCTCTTAGTAACTTTTTTTTTTTTTTTTTGCCATCTCTCCTAAACTCTGCTCTGCTCTCCATTTGCTCAAGCTTTCCAGGTAGGTTGTATTGCATTCCTCTGGCTCACTTACCTTCAATCTGTCCTGTGAGTATAAAATTTTCCAAGCTTTCTTTCCTCATTATGTGCCCAGAAATTTTAGCTCTCTTCCTTAGCATAAGTGTTCTTTATGTTGCCATTGTCTCTAGAACTTTGTCATTGCTCACATGTTCAGTTCATGATATTTTCACTATCCTTCTGTAGAACCACATTTCTGTTGTTTCAAGCCTCTTTCTTCATCTGTGAGAAGATTGACCAGTATTCTCTGAGGACTGATGTTACATAACAGTTTAGTACTCTTTTTTTTTTTTTTTTTTTTTGTTTCTAAAGATATTTTTCTGCTTCTTAATACTTGTCCCAACTTTTGGAACACATTTTTGCTATTCCAATGTCCCTTTGGATTTCTGTGTCATACTTCCTTTCTTTTAATACACTTCCCAGATATCTAAATTGTTGCACTTAATTCACTATCGCCAGTATGTAATTTGTATATTGGACTGTTCCTTTTGCTAACAATCATGCATTTACTCTTCTTGCTTTCCTTGTACATAATAAAATTCTTATTTACTTCATGTATAAGAGATGAACAAAAGTAAATGAAATTGAACTTTTATTAACTTGAAGTTTTTAGTATTTTATAACATTGTAAAACAACCACAAATTTTAAAAGCTAATATTTGGCCAATATCAACTGGGAAGTCATTTGAGAAACTATATTACTATTGATAAGATATTGTTTTGATACAGTTACATTTTATGAATAGTGGTTTTGGTAATATGGAAGTATTGAGAAAATGGTTATACTAATCTATCAAATTAGATGCAATGTTTCAGCATTTGAAAAAGTTTTGTCGGTTTATAAACAAGTTATTTTTGATGAATTAAAATGTGGTGGTAGTGGGGGCCTAGAATAAATATGCGATTTCATGTTGCGTACATATAGCAAACCAAATTGCTAAAAAGTAGTTTTTTGAAATAAAGAGAATCTCATATTTTGTATGCTTTAACTCTTTAGCATTTGACATCTTCAAATCCACTTTGTAAATATTGGCTCAAAGTCTCACTGTGATTAATCTAGCAGTTTGAATGACTTCTTGTGTTGTTTGTGTTGATGTCATCATATATTATGGCAGAGTATACATGGGGTAGGTTGAACATCGAGAGCCGATATTTACAGGGGAGGCTGAATGCTAAAGGGTTAAATGTAAAAATATCAGGTCTAGAGAATTTATTCACTAAAGATCACCATTAAGATTACAATTGTTCAAAAAACTTCAGTATACAGTCTGACTTTATGAACATAACAAGCAGTTTTGAAATGTTCTATTTTTATGTTTGTTAATTTTTAATATCTATATTTTTTCTCTTTATTCTGATTTTGAAAATGTGATGTAAAAGCAGCCATCATTTTTCTCTTGCGATAGTAGCTTAGGGCCATATCATGTTGAAACACATGTTCTCATATGATCACCAAAGTCGAGCAATGCTCAGCTTGGTCAGTACCTAGATGGGTGACCACTTGGGAATACCAGGTGCTCTTAGATTTTTTGTTGTGGGTTTTGCAATGGATAACGGCTCAGAACTGTTAATCAGAGAGCTAAGTTCCAATTCCCATTGGGTTTGTCATGTTCACTTACATACAAATACTCTTGAGAAAGGTATGAATTCATCTCTTCTCCCCTCCCTAGCTATGTTTAATTAGTAAGACTTGTATCACTAAACTATTATCTCTCCCCAAAATTCCTACAATCAAAAATATTTTCTGACTTTAAATAACCTGCAATGAGTTGATAGACCATAGAAAATGAATCAATCTTGCAACAGTTATACTCTAGGCATAACATCATGATCTATTTAGGGTGTGTGTGTACACTAATAGGGTGGTTAGTGTGAGCTTAGTCTATCTAACCTACAGATATTTATCTTTTAGATACCAAATTTTGCAAGAATGAAACCTAGTCTTGTATGAAAATCAATTTTTATTCTCCCTCCTGTTTGTGAGAGCAACCTACTAATGAGAGAAGTTAACTGTATTTAGCTACTAGACAGATGTCACGAACACTTTGCAAACCTGCAAAATGTCATCAATAAATTTACTTTTACACACAAAATATATAGTATTTAAGTTTCTGCTAATATCAAAAGTGTAGTATTTGTGAGGGAAAAAAAGATTAAAAAAATCCATATAAATTAAGATTTGGTAAAATTAATAAATATTTTCAAGTTATAGTGGACACATTGAAACATTTGATAATCAGTTTCAGACAAATAGGAGCTTTTCTATTGAAAATTATTAATAAGATGCATCCCTACTGAGTGCATGTCAACTAAAAATAAAATTTAATCTAGAGAGAAAGATGGAAATTGTACAGCATTTAAAACGTGTATCAAACTATTAATCTACAAAGTTACAAGTTTTAAGCTTGTATAGTTATTAGAAATTTTATGCTCTTCATGTAATACACTTTAGAATTGAGCTGGGCATTTTTTTTGTTTAATATTCATAGGCATTTTGTGTCTACTATGATATCCAAGTGTGAGTTATACATAAAAGGAAAATGTATCAAGTAATCAGTCAGTCCAAGTGATAGGTTGAGTAGCAGCCAGATGTAACAGTCACTCATTAAGAAATCTTCCTCTGTTTAGTCTATTCCTTGTGGTACAAAAATTGTCTTCATACAAAAATTTTTCGTAAGTCACTACAACTATTTCTGGAATATAAAAAAAAAAAAAAGCTTGGATTTACACTTTATCTGCTTTCTTTTTTTCCTTTCCATTTTCTTCATGGAAGTATTGGATTTTTTTTACAAGGACAAAATTTTTACCCCTTCAATTTACTCTAAGATTAAATGGTAATGTGTATATTATCAGTATTAAACTTTAGTTCATTTCATAATTTCCAAATTTCAGTTGGGTTAGTTACATTCACTTATGTATTACAAGTTTTGGGTTAAATAGTAGGACTTGTATCTGGAAAAAATCATTGTTATTCTCAAAATTAATTATCAATGCAATATTCACTTTGAAAAAAAGAAGTATTCTTACAGCCCAAATATATTTCAATTTCAGATAATCCACAAAAGGTTGATAAGCTGTAAAAACAAAAATCAACCACTCAATCTTCATAATATTGCTTATAACGTTAACAATGAGTTGTATATATAGAATAGTGTGTGTATATAAAAGTTTGCAATACTCTCTTTTTATATTTATATGTATTTTTATAACCAACATAGAGCTAGTTATGGGAAAAGTATGAAATCAGATTGAGGCCAGATATCTTGAGATAGATCTTGTATCATATTGATGATTGTAGCAAACCTGAGTATCACCTTACAGAGAATTGAATTTGCTTGATTTCAATTGGCAGGTTTGTTGTAATTGTGTGGAAACAAAAAAAAAATCTGAACTTTTTTTTTTATATATTCACATATTGCATGCACAACATTTTACAATCTAAAGAAAAAATTTTTTTCTCGAATTTCTTTGGCAAAAAAAAGGTATTTTAATCCCAAATTGATTCCTGGTGCTCTCCAGTGGCTTTGTGGGTTAGCATCATCTTATTTTACTCATGTTACCTTCATGTACCAGAATGTAATTGGCTGCAATAAAAGCCACAAATAAATTCTACCTCTGACATTGGAGGTTGAATTTGACCTTATCTACACTCTCATGTGTGAGGTCAAAAAGAATTTTGTAATTCACTGCAAACTCAATATCTCATTCTATTTTGCTAGAAAGTTGTGCTCTCTGGTGACCTGAGAGGTCAACCTCACATTGTGTCAAAAATTAGGCCAATGGGTCTTGTATAGATAAGCACAAAAATCTCCAATATTAATGTCATTATGTTTTGGTTTATCAATGTTTTATATATGCACAAAGCAATAAATATGATGTATACTAAACCTTAAATTATTTTCCTAATGTAAAGTTTTAATCATTGCTGATTTCTTAGTTTGCAATATTCATGGGAAGCATTCCACTTATATTCAGTTATGTTGGCACTAAAGTTATAGTTTACATTTTGTCACTGTTGTTATATTGATGGATGCTATTATCACTAGCATCTTCTGCTTCATTATGCATCATTTCAAAACAGTAGTTTGAAGCTATTGGTTATTTGAACAATATAACAGCAATACACCTTTTTTAATGATTTTATTTTAGCTTTTTTCATATCAAAGCAGCCTAAACTTGCTTTTTAAATAATCTATTATCAATACAATGTGAATACTAATGACTTGCTTTATACTGATATTTTGAACTGAATTTTGTTGAAAAACTTCTTTTTATTGTAAAAGTTTACTAAAATCTCAAGATTCCAGTTTGAAGAACTTTAGTCAGGTTATTCCAAAAGTAATTTGACTTTGTTAATTTAAGCTGTTCTTTGATCATGCATGCATATGATTTCGTTGTCATTATTTTAATTATTCTAACTTGGAATTTATTTTAATTTTTCAACAAAATTTGCAAAATTATGCTTGGTAGCTGAGTAGACTGAAGAAATTTGTAGGTGAATATGACTGAAGTATTAAATAATGTGGCTATGTTAGTAACTGTTTTTAATATTATCAAGTCCTAATTCTTTTTTTTTTCTTTTTTTTTTAATAGGGAAATTACTAACAATAACTGGATGATTCACATATTGTTTGATTTATTAAAACAACTATTCATATCTGGATTTATAAAAGTAGCAAAAATATTTCACTCTGTGATTACAAAAGGAAATTTTGCTTCTATAGATTATATAATCTTTTTTTCCCTTAATAATTTACTTGGAACAAGAGATGAAATAATGTTAAAGTGTATTTTGAAGAACAAGTTTCAATTTAGTCATTGACACTCAATTTTTTAAGTTTTTTTTATCTGACTTAAAAATTTCATTAAGAGCACACTTTTATTACTAATAGCTTATGACATTTGGTACTAGCACTTGCATACCATTTTGTAAACCTCTTCACTGACATATTTTCGAAGATGTCTGGGCAAAGTTTAACAAACATACCTACAAAAAAAACTGTCAAAAGAACAATTTTTCTCTTTACATTACTACTATTACTGCATCATCACCTCATCAGTCTCTTGCCTGCTTCAATTGTTAGGTGGGGGGACCTAAGAGCAGAAGAAATGGATAACCTCCTCCAGAAAGATCTGTTGGTGGTAGTTCTCAGGAGTTCCAACATTGTCATGTCTGCCTTACATGATGGTCTTGAAGAAGTGGTGAGGAGAGATTCCTGATGGCCCATGAAACTTTTGACCTTGCTCCATACATAGTCATTAGACATAGATTACTGTAGACTCCCGTATTAATTTTTGTTTTAAATACCTATTTTTAGAATTTTAATAAAACTATGTTTTTCTCAATCATTTCACCCCAAGCAAAGTGATAATACTATTAAGATGCAAGGGATTACTGAGAGTGAAAGCCAATAAGATGTTAGGAGAAAGGACAATAAAAGAGCAAGATTAAGGAAGACAGATGATGATTGATATTGCATTTAAATTTTTGAAGTGGCAAAGAAGCAAGAAACTGGAAGAGTTCCATGTGTAAGAAAAGAAACTGTTAGACTAGAAGTTAATGTTACATCTAGCTATTTCAACAGTAAAATAATGAGGCATATATATATATATATATATATATATATATATATATAAATTGGAAAATTGGATTTTCTTTTTTCTTGAGAATTGACAACAAAGATATTAAGCACGTTATTGATTTAGATTGGTTATTTACAAGATTATAGGAATGTGAACCAACTATAATGAAATATTTATCATTTACCATATTATAAGGAAATGACTATGAAAACAATTTTTTTTTATTTATATATTTATCAAAATGTGAACAAAGGAACAAGAAAATTTAAATACACACAGTTATGTAACTAATTATAAATTCTGAAAAACTGCATTTTCCAGGCATTTATTTCATTTGCTTTTGCCACATAAATTCACTAAAATAGGTTTAGAGCTGAGAAAAAAAATGTATAAATCCAGTTTCATATGTTTAGGTTTTATTAAAATTCTAAAAATAGATTTTTAAAACAATAATTACTGAGGAGTATAAGGTAATAACAGCATCAAGAGAAAAATTGCCCATTTTAGACACTTTTTTTTTTTTTTTTTTTAAATTAACTACTAAGATAGACAGTCTTGGACAAAAATTTAAATTTGTTATTCAGCCTTTTTAATTTTTTTTTTTTTTTTTTTTTTTTTTTTTTTTTTTAAATTAAAAAACAAATCCTTCAGGTGATTTCTGTTTAAAAAGTTATATCTACATTGTCTGTGATTAGTGCAAAACTGTTATTTTTTGGTATCCCTTGTTGTTGAATTTGTTGGTTCTGTCTTTGTTTATTTTCCCCATTTCAAGTTTCTTGATTTTCTAGGCACTGTAGATGTTAAGATGACATGCCTTTGATGGAGTGGGGCTGGTATGGTTGATTTTCACACTTTCCCTTCATTTACTACGTATATATGTATATTTCATCCATTAATTTTAGACTAATATTTATTTGAAGTTGATTTTATTACAAT